TATTACAAAATTGGGTCAGGAAGACAGAGCTCTGAAGCACAACAGGGCTCAAGGGAAGTTCCCTGTCTCCAGGCTCCAGGGCAGGGCCAGGCAGCACTGTACTTACTCATTGGTCCCTGCCCTCGGACTCTCCTCCGCCTCATGTGCTGGAATCAGAAACCTGTGAAACTGGTGTTAATGCCATCTTAAGAGGGAGTCTGGGAAAGACTGCGGAAGCTGATTTCCCTGATTTGGCAGGCTGGGTGTGTGGTGTCTGTTATCCTAACACATGTAAGATGGATTCAAGCACACGGGTTCCAGAGTGACCTCTGCCTGCTGTCTCTTCCATTCTCTGGAAGAAATGAAACACCTGTCTATAGTGACCTAGGTTTTTAAGCCTCAACTAGCAACAAAATAAAACTTATCTATTATTTGTTTGCTCTGCCTTTTTCTTTTTCCTTTTCCAATACATACTCATGTAGACTGTGTTCTTTTCGACTCCAGAGACCTTGAAGGATGCTTGTGGAGCCTGGTTAGGGTTTGTATGCACCAGTTCCCCAAGTTGGTACCCCAGCCCATACCACCCCACCGAAAGCAGCCTTCCCAGCACCCTCTAGTCCCCTGCTGGCCTTCATCAGAACAAGGACACCTACCCTATCCAGCCTTTCTATAAGCTCAGCAGAGGTCCCTATCTACAACTGCATGGTCTTAGCCAGACAACCCTTCAGAATCACCAGAGACAAACAGAAGGAGAACACTTTCACCATGTTCTGAGTCAGGACTAGTTGTTTTTGACATTTAATTGCAGTTTAATAGGAGTTAATCGTGGCTCTAACGTTCACATCAGCGCTGAACACATGCACAGCCTACAGCGTGGCCCAATGCCGTTAACCACACAATTCAGGAGAGCCAGGGAACAGAGAGGGAAACGCTTTGTTTATTTAGCATGTATGGTGTCATAGGAGATCTTTTCTTTTCTCATGAAACAACAACCTATCATAGGAAAAACAAATATGTCAATAGTTTCCCCTCCATGGCAGAATCATATATAGCTATTTCCACTGCTTTTGGAATAGTAAAAATCCCATTACAGAAACACACAGAGAAGACATATACTGTTTATCTGTTAACATAACAGAATAATACGTTTATAAAATGGTTGCACTAAACATATTCATTACCTTACTTTTCCTATAAGAAAAGCTTGAAGGATCACTAGGGAAATTCTCTATCAGCATACAACTATATTGGGAGGAAGAGAATATACCATGTCTGTGTATTTGACCGTTTATAGGTATTTGACAGAAGGTTGAAAATGTGTTATTAAAAAAAGCCAGAGGAAATATATATACACACATACACATACAAATGTATGTGTACACCTTACAAAACAGCCACTGTACTTCTTCCTGTGAGCTGCTTTAGAGAGAAGCAGTAAAAGCTTGGCTGGGAAACATCTTGTTGTTCACCTGGAATTCCTGGACAGAGAGTTCAGTACGTGGATTAGGAAATGAAACTTCACAGGCTTATAAAGACTGAAAACATGCATAGACGTTTTTCTACTGCCAAATGGTCAAAACCTGAAATTGTTTAAGTCTGAAGGACTGAGGATCCTAGGGAAAAAGCCATATATGAATATGACAGTGCTGTCATTATGTGGGTAACAAGTAAGGAGGTGAGAGTGTTACAGAAAACAAACAAAAACAAAACAAAACAAAAAAACAATGGACACTTAAAACAGGGTTGCACTCCAATTTTAAAAGAAAGTGTAACTACCTAAGGAGGTGGTGGTTTTCGCAGCTACCTAACGATCCTACGGAAAGAGTGTTATTGCTGTGATACCATGAGTGAAGTACTGTGCATATGCTCAGTCAACTCAGACTGGCAGGTGGCCATAAGAACATCACTCCCACAGCTGTCCCAAGGTATCTGGAACTTGTCCTGACATCTGGACAGAAAGAAGACATACATGTTTCTTGTTAGGAGTGACAATGCAACAATACACTCATGGCAGCCATTAGACTAGGCAGTTCTTAGCATTACAGAAAATCCCAAACTGTGAAATGACAGTATGCTAATCCTTAAAACCACTTGGAAAGGAGGGTAGGCTTGTTAAGTGTCAGAGGACAGAAATTAACAGAAAAAATGTAACTGACAAATGTAATCTTCAAAAAATTTGTGGCTAATTATAGACCAAGTTTTAAAAGCAGACTGGATTTTGGTCCATGAGGCTACTAAGAAAAGATGAAGATTCTTATTCATAAACAGAAACCCAAGAAAAACTTCCAACACTCATCTTCTTTACAGATATTTTGGTGATTAGACAAGTAACATCTCAAGTGATGGGTATGATGGACTTAACAACTGCATTAAGGTGCTCTGATATGACCGTCACACCGTCATCTCCTGTGACTATCAGTCTACTGCTAGATGGTTGCTGAGATACAATTATTGTTTGTTATATTAATATACACCAGAGTTTTCTGTTTAGTACGTTGGCTTTGTCCCTCAAAGACAGGAGTGAGGAATGCCCCATCAGTAAAAACTGGCCTGTTGCTTGTTTCTGTAAATAAAATTTTACTTAAAAAAGTCACATTTTTATCTGTATGTTGCCTGTGGCTTTTATGCTTGTAAAGGCAAAGGTGAGCAGTTAAGAGTCTATATGATTCTCTGAGGAGCCCCAATTATTTGCTACCAGATCCTACACAGAAAGAGTTGTTGGCATGTCACCCAGGGGCTTATTACTAGAGCATCGAGAACAACACATGCTTTTTACTTTCATAGGTACCTGGCTTCCTTGCATTCTGGTATGTGTGTGACTCCATCTTCTACACTTATTTTGTTCATTGGTGAACAAAAATCCTGAAACTTTAACATTACAGCTGGGCTTTCACTTTTAATACATTTGGAACATAATCGTTATCTCTAGCCATAATCTGTTTGATGTCAGGCATTCTCTAAGAATTAGAGATTAATAAAATGGTAAAGCCATCTAGCAAGAGACTAGAAAAACTGTACCTCTTAATTTACCTTGAATAAGGAGAAAGAGTAGTAAAAGGAGGAGAAAAAAAAAACCCAAATACAATTTAAATACCAGTAAGTCAAAGGAAAAGGTTTCAGCTTTCAAACACAGAAAGGCAGACAGCAGATAGACACATATAGATACACGTGTACATGTGTACACACACAAACACACAGTCATACATCTAGGAGAATCTAAAAAATACAACATAAAGTATATTTGTTTTATAAATATATTACTGTCTATATACATATAGATACATCCATAAAAGACATGTTAAATAATTATTTGTATAATCAATACTACTTTTGTGTATTTAAAAATTACACATTCTATTAAAATTATCAAAATAATCTTTAAAAATACCAAGAATAAAACCAAGTATTTCTTTCCATGTAAGTGGTTCTGAATCTTATCATTGGCCAAACAGACCCTACACTTGGTCATTCACAACTCAAAGAAACAGTTCAATCAGGAAAATGTCATCCATTAAAAGACAACCCAACCCCCCCATTTTTTATTACTTCATAACAAACATGTGTATATATAAAACAGCCTTTTTAGGTATATTACATATTCTCATAAATGCATTTTCATAAAAACAAAAAAATTCAAGTTTCCACCAGTGTCAAGTATTTGACACTGGTGACCATTACTTTTACTGTTTAGGTCAGTGACAAACTCCCATTAGGATAACAAGACCGAAAATGTCTGTGTTACATGCAAGAAAAGATGAAATTCGAAGGGCCATTTTGGCCAGGTAAGTACTATTCCCTCTGGACTAAGACACAGGGACAACAGACTGCTAATTACTGCATAAAGTACAGTCAACTGTCTATTATTCAGGGGCAGAATATTCCAGTCTGAGTCCTTTTTAATCATCTGACCAATTCTGATTTTACTACTTATTAGCACACCATTTTCAGGTTACTTATTTATTTTAGCAAGTCTGGTGAATAGGAATCAGCAATTGGGAAGAAAGGTTTTTAGCTAAATTTAAGATTTATGATCAGCTACAAATTTAATGATGGACTTCTTTATTACTTGAGACATTTGAGAATTTGATGTAGCTAAAGTCTGCCAATTATGTTCTTAAACTTGGCAAGCAATGTTGGTGCTTCATCAAAGGGGACAGGCAGCCTGTCCTCTTGTCACAAGAAAACTTTTCCTTAGCACACAGCTAATGGCACTGAGAAATGCAGGTGGGAGTAGGTTAGAACTACCCACTCGATGACACACACTGGTAAGGATTATATTAAAGATGAAAAAGAGGGCAACTAGTCAGCTAAAACATAAAAAGGCCGAATTTTAAATCATGTCCTTTTTACCTCAGAGCTCACTTAAATAATTTTAGTCAAGTTTGCCCATTTCCAAACAATCACAGTGCTAGAATGAAGCAAAAGTGACATGTCCATTGGAAGTGACCTCCTCCTCTCGCCTCCCAGTACCATTAGGTAGACGGGGGAAGAGGAGCCCCACATGTGCAACCTCATTTTTGGCGTTCATTTCTCCTCCACGTTTCAACCTTCAGATAATGACTGACGAAATCAAGGACCGTTTCACAAGTCGGCAGTGTCACTCTCAGACAGACACTGCTAGGAATGGCTGGTCTGGCACCACCTGTGTCACCCTGGGTACAGGTGTGTGCCACACTCACTCAAACACAGCAGTAACTGTAGAACATCACTTTCCTGAATTAAGTTTGCTGAACATGGTTCAGATTATTGGATATGCTAATATGCACAATGCCGTTTAGAAGCATTTACTGTGTACCCAAATCCTACTCCATGCAACACACAGTGTCACACAAGTAGTGAAAATGTTATCCTAGTCGAAGATGCTTGGACGTTATTTTCAGGCAGCATTTTACCTTTATTTTAAGTTAAGTTCACACTAGGTAAGTTTTAGGAGAAAGAAAATGCCAATAAATTTATTTAATATATTTTAATATATAAAACTAAGACAGACACCTTTATTTACCTTAATTGTTATTTTTATTTTCTATCCTATTCTAGACTTCAATTTTTCCTTTAAAATTTTGTATTTAAATAAGGGATAAAATGTTGCCCAAAAGTCTAATTATAGTTACATATTCATGTTTTTAACTAGATCTACAAATCAAAATAGTTTTTATTGTTAAAAAGATACAATTTGTATCAACAGTAAAAGGTACTTTCTGGTTTTCAGGGCTTTGCCTCTCTCAGGCTGCAGGACTGCCTAGACCAGGGCATCCAGGCTCACCACAGGATCAGAGCTAGACTTGTCCTTTACAACAAGTAAAACCAGAGACAACTTCTGTCTATCACAGCCCTGTCTGCACTGATCATAAATCCATCTCCCAATCCTCAGAAAGGTCACTACAGCAAGCAAAACCCATGACTTCACAACCAGAAATATCCCTTACTAATACTAGAACAGACTTTAGTCTGTATCTAAAACTACACTATTTGTGGCAAGAGTCTGGCCTTAATAATATAACAGGCCCCCAAAAAAACTACCTTCAGGAAAATGGAAAATATACAATATCTTACAAAAAAATTAAGTTACCATTTACAAGTCCTGTTGCCATTTCTATAGTGCAGTACCAATAAATGTTGCATATCCTCAACACATCAGACCACCTCAGGCCAGCCTCAATAAATAGCAGGAAAGCTAGAGTGTATTAAATATAAAAGTTGCATTGAGAATACCTAGATTCATTAAAAATAGGCAAGTACTGTGAAAGGGTTATTCATCCAGTATTGTGCCTCCCACAAAAAGACAGACATTAAAAATACATGTTAATGGAAATCTAGGATTTCAATCCCATTTCTACTGTCAAAAAGCACATTTTAGCTGGAAAACAAAGCTTTAACTTGTAATAGTTACGGCTTTTGCCTTATTCATAAAAAGAAAATGGAAACATTTTTTTTCCATTGATTGTATCTGCTTTCTTTTAAACTGACCATTTAAAATAACTAATTTTCTTAACAGGAAATATCCAAACAAAAATAAAATAATCAAAAGTGCCACACTGGAAATCATTCTAACATATACTATTACCCAATTTAATGTAACTGTTAACTTACTTTTTGTTTAAAATATAAAGTCAGTGCTGTAGTATATCTTTGTTTCTATAAATAATGATTATAGCACAAAGAAGCCCACTTTCCCCAAATAAAAATAACTTAAAAAGCTGTAAAGGATTCTAGTTAAGCTTGGCTTGAGGAAATAGTTTGCTAGGTTTAGTCCAGTACCTCCACATTCTGAAGGTACTGCAATTGCTTGCAGTTGACAGACAAACACCAAGTTAATAAGACAGGAAACAAGGATAGAAAGTGCTGCATATAAACCCTGATGCACCAAAGAGGAATATCAAAGATCACAGACACATCTATTAAATCAAACTGGAGAAATCTCCAGCCAAGTGTATAGCTTTAAAAAGGAAATGTTAAAAAAAAAAAAAAAAGTTTGAATGTAAAGCAATCCCGTGATACGTCCACCAAGTGGGGTTCCATACAGATTCCATGATACAGTATTTCACATAAATGGATACTATATAACCTCCCCGCTGAGAAGGAGATCACATGTGCTATTGTAGCAAACCTCCCTCAGCATCTGAGCTGAACAAAAAACTACTCAACACCACAAAGATGCATCATCTTTTCAATAGCCCAGCTGTGACTTCTCCACTAAGATGGCTGCTGCGAGCTGCTGGGCGTCTGTCATGTGAGGATTCCTTTTCATGACGAGCCTCACCAGGTCAGGGGGGAAGATGTTGCACAGATTGATATAAATCTTTTCTCGGTTGTCCTGATACCTTGGAGGATCTTGTGGCATTGCACAGTACGGGATTCGCCAGGTGGGCTCCTGCTGCTCAGGCAGGCTCTGGAAGGTGATCGACTCATAGCAGGGGGGTGTGGAATTATCGGGTAAGGAGTAAGTCTGCCGATAGCCGTATGTATCCATCCCGTAGCTTGGCCTATCCCAGCTTCCTAGGCCTTCCTGGCGAGAGTAAGGCTTTCTTTGTCTTGAAGGAGAGCTATCATAGAGCCGAGAATCAGAAATGCTGTCTATTCTCGTGGCCACTAAGGACCTTCCTAGGTGTGGCGCCTTAGAGTGTGCTGAACTTGGTGGAGAGGGGTAGTCGCCAGGACAGCTGGACCGCGCACCCACAGCGGGGTGCTGCAGATGCACAGCCAAGTGTGGAAGAGGACGCTTGTGATGGTACTTTGGTTCTTCATGACTGTAGCTCTGAACTCTGCTTAGGGGCTCGTGTAAATTGTGCAGGAAGGGCTGGGAATTAAGGCGGCTGTGAGGGTGCATGTGTTGACACTTCAGATTCTCTTCCAGCTGCGGGTCAGGAGAGCTGACATAGGACCGGTCACTGTACCCCACGTAGGAGTCGCTGCTCCCACAGCTCATGCTCCCTTCACTGCTGCAGTCTGAAGCTACAGAACTGACTCTGTAATCAGTGTCTAACGAGAAACGCCTTTCAGGACTTCGGGGGCCTGAGATACTCAGATTTGAATATGCATTCAACATGGAGTAATACCCAACGTCAACAGGGGACTCACATTTTGGATACTGTTCATAAGGCATTGGCGTTCCATGATTTTTGGTTGCCATCATCACTGGAGGGTACTGTCCCTGTGGTCTTTGATCCTGAGGTGGGAAATGAACTCCAGATGGAAGGCCATTGCTTAAAGATGGAGTGCTTTGGGGTTTTGCAGTAGGAGTGGCCGGGATACTAACTAAGGAAGGTACAGACCTGGTTTCCAATTTGTTTTTGGTGGGAAGCTTTTCCTCTATGTCTTGGTAGGCATGAGTCCTTATGCTTGGGTCTGACTGCCTCTTTGGAGCACCTCGTTTGACGTCCGAAGTGCTATCAGCCTTGGAGCTACAAGGGACACTGTTGCTTTTCACCAGTCCTCCTTCATTTGTAGCTTTGGCTGCTGTGTTTCTAGACATGGCACGAAGTTCATCCGCAACTGAGCGCTGAGGCTGGCTGCCCCTTTCTGGGTGGTAATATTTGCACTTATGTCCGTAGGTACACTTCTTTCCTATGAAGATAAAGTCAATTAGGCAAGGGAGCACAGCATGAGATCCTGCACAGTCAGCGAGGCACGCCTATCTCAACTGGTGTAACAAAGGCAGAAATGGGAGCTGGGCTATGTCTTAGTCTGTCCTCACTCTCTTCAGTCTTCTCGCTTACTCTGAAGGGCACTGAGGAGGCTTAGTTGATATCTCAGATCATATCTGCCTCTTCTCTTCAAGGTCTTTACAAGTCATGAGATTCTCCCATGAAGAGCGGCTGGACTGCTGCAACACCATAAAGCTATGCTTATCTGATTCGTACCTAGATAGAAGAATTCCTAATTTTCATTCCCATAAAAACTAACTTCAAAGAGAATTAACACTATATTCACTCAGAGAAGTTCCTACATTGAATCCAAGTAGGTAAAAACAATTTCTTAAGGCTACCATACTTCCTTAAATTTAATCACAATCAAAAGAAGTACATAGTATACCACATGAGATTTTCAATGTTTATTTATATTAGCCAAAGTTTAACCATATATTGTGCTCTAAAGGCACATGTTAAATATTCATAAGGACAGTTACCATATGGACAAGGTTGCTTTTTGTGCTCAGGGACAATGGGTTTCTTCCTCAGAAAGTTATCCAGACTTGGGCCATGTCTGCCCAGAGGGTCATCAGGGGGCATGAACCTGTCACAGAGATAACAAAAGACAAGACACACAGAAAAAAGGTCAATAAACCCTAAAGACAGAAATAGTCATTCACTCTATTTTCTTCTGAAATTTTAATCCAAGTGCCTTGACTAACATTTCTAAGATTAAAAGAACAAAAATTTTAATCCAGGGTCTCCTGTAAAGCCTAGCTTTCACCTTAACTTGTATCTGTTTTAATGTAAATAAGCTTTGAGACAGCATGTTCTAACACATTTTTTTTTCCCTCAGTCTTGGGAGGCATGTAAGGATCTGAATAATAAATACCAGGGCATTTTAGGAGAGCTCTGTCAACACTAGTTTTGCAAGGGAGTGCAGCCCAGGGGAATGAGGTGGAGCAGCTGAGAAGGGAGAGGAGGGGAGGGACAGCAGTGAGCCCGAGACTCGAGACTCGGTGTTAGGTGTTAGATGCACCTCACACACCACTGCATCTCCAAGTACAAGCTCCAGTTTAGAGATCAAGAAATAATCCTCATTTAGGCTCAGAGAACTTAAGTCCCTTTGTGTCTAACATCGATGGATGACAAGGTCAAGACTCAATTATACATGACTCTGAAGTCTGTTCTCTCCCCGTTGGTGAGTGGCTTCTCAGCTGAGGAAAAAATGAGTCAAGGAGGCAAAGCACATCCACCATCTCAGATGCCTGAGGCTCAGAGAGGAGGATAGGCCTTTGAGACTTGGCAGAAGGGAGGAGGTTAGAGAGGACTGCAAGGCCAGCCTTCGTAGGCTACAGAATGAGCTCAAGGCCAGCATAAATGAGTTGAGACTCTGTCTCAAAAAGACTAAGCAGCCAAACCGTTGATTCTGTAGCGCAGTGTGGCAGTAGGCTGGCCTCGCATGCATAGGTGAGGTCTTGGCTTGGCTCTACTACAAAAAGAAGAAACTAAATCTAAGGACATAAGCTTATCATTGGATTGACTATCAAATGGTGGAAAGAAAAATTTGTATCATGTACAGAAATAAATCCTAATATTTGTTCTAACTTGAAATAAGCACAAGTGTTTATCTGTAATAAGAATGTGAGCAATATAAAAATTCAAAGAGGAACAATCAAAATGTCTTAAAAAATGTCTTAAAAAAACTTAACAAATATTATTATGTTTTTGTTATTGTATTATTATGACAAAAGCAAAATTCAGTAAAAAGAAAAAAAAACAATACAAAAGAAAAAAACCAAAACCTACATGTTAGGGATATAGGTCAGTGGCAGAGCCTGAGTAAGACCATAGGCTTCATCCCCAGTGTTGCGAAATAAAAATATTTTCCATGTTTACTCCCTCCTTCTCTTTCCTTCTCCCAGTCTCACTATGTAGTCCAGGTGGCCTTGAACTCATGATTCCTTATGTCAGCCCGTACAGGGCTGAGGTCACAGGTGTGTGCCAACGGCCACTTCCCACATTTCTCAGGAGTCTTCCTAACAAATGCACAGCTGAGCTACACTGCAGCAGCTATGCATTGCAACTTGATGGATTTTTCTACTGTATGCTTAGTCGCCTTGCAATTCTTGTAATTCTAAATACAAAAGTTAGTTTATTTGGTTTTTCTTTTTCCTCATTATTATAGCCTAAGAAATAATGTAAGGCTGAGAGTGCAAATGCAGTTTTGAAGTTTTTGCTAACTTTTGCTACATTGTACAACAGGATTAATGGGGAACCGGTGGTCAAAAGAAGCCTGTGTCAGGTCTGGTCAGTGGCAAAATGGGAAGGATATTACTGCAGCTGCGAGGAAGGGCTGTCTTACTTACTTGTCATTGACAAAGGAATACATCAATAACCGTTCATCTATGAACTTCTTCCATTCCGGTTTTTCATTTGCCAAATCTCTGTAGTTATCATTGGACACGATTATGCCGTCAGACTCAAAAGCCAGCTTCACAATGAACCTGTCGTCATAGCACACTACTCGCCTGCCCTGGACGCGCCGAGACGGCGTGAATACCAGGATTTTCTCCTTTTCTAGTTTCCGTAAAATTTCCTGATCTGCAATAAGAACAGGGTGAATTTTCAGGAGTAAATACATAATGAAATACATGATGACTTTCATATGATGAGGTTTTTTTTTTATTAAAAATATTTATTACACAAGTGCTCTGCTTGATGGAGGTCTGTGCACCACGTATGTGTCTGGTGCCCACACAGGTCACAGAAGTTGTTAGATCCCATGGAACTGTAGTCAAGAGACGGTTGTGAACCATCTGGGTGTGTTGGGAATCAAACCCAAGTTCTTTGCAAGAATAAGTGCTCTTAAGCACTGAGCCGTCGCTCCTGCTTCCTGGGGAGCGTTTTTAATAGGAACTAGAATGTAGACATTATGAGTCACAGTTGACGGATGTAGCGTAATCTGTCACTCTCGGCAATACTTTATGAAATTTCAGTCTTAAAGCCGCAAGCACCAGTGTGACGACACGCACCAAGCTGTTCCCCTGGTCCAGTTTTGAGCAGCAGGCACTTTTTTCTCATCTGTGGGTGTGTGCTGGAGGTTTTTTTTTCTCTAAATAGAAGATGTGATGGGGAGAGACTCTGAAATTGCTGTAACAGAGGAAACTCTGAGTAACTCATTTATGCCTCACTGCCTGCCCACTTCATCTTAGAAACAACAAGGAGGTGCAGTGAGACTGTGATTCCCCCATGTGGACAGCAGCAGAACTTGAGCTGTCTCAAAGCACAGGTTCACAGGAATGAAGACAGTGGGTCAGAAGTGCTGGTACAGTCACACATTCTGCATCCTGCCCTCTGAAGTGGGGTAACAAGCGTCGGTTAATAATAATAATAATAATAATAATAATAATAATAATAATAATAATAATAA